GAAAAGATGACAAGTGATTGCACTGTTTTCTTACTCAGCCCCCTTCTTGAGGGTGGCACTGTGGATTTTTTTTTATTGCTAGTTTTATAGGTCTGAATTCCTCACCCTGAAAATTCTCCCCTCTCAGGCATAAGTTATTTAGCTTCCTGCCTTATCCAGGTTCAAAATCTGGCAAAGGTTAGGAGGAGGCCTGATGTTTATCATAGGTCCCTCTATCTAATGGGATTTGGTTTGTTAGTGCCTTCACTGTGCAAGAGAATTTCACTCTGCTTTTCTGGCTCAGTCCCCCATCCTCCCATACCACCCTGACACTAAGGAAATGTCCTGTGGTGGAAATCAGCTTGGCATTCTGCTAGATTTCATTCTTTCATGCCAGCCCATGGGTTCATCAAAACCTATGGTGGTTTCTCTTTCCAGTGGAGTATATCTACCTGTACCAGGGTGGGGAACCTTTTATCTGCCAAGGGCCATTTGGATATTTGTAACATCATTCTTGGGCCATACAAAATTATCATAAAAAATCAGCCTGCTATATTTGGTCACACATTTAACTAACTCATTACTAATGCTTTGGCAGGGCAAGACCAAATGATTTCACAGGTCTTTTGCAGCCCGTGGTTCCCCACCCCTGACCTATACCAAGCTCCTGCCCATAATTTCTAAGATGCCCCTCTACCATATCCTATATAATTAAAGCCTAATATGCTAAGTGTCAGGTTGGCCATTCAATCAAAGCATAATCCTATATAATAAAACCCTAATATGCAAATTGACCGAATGGCAGAACGACTGGTCGTTATGATGTGCACTGACCACCAGGGGGCAGACGCTCAATGCAGGAGCTTCCCCCTGATGGTCAGTGTTCTCCCACAGGGGAGTGCTACTCAGCCAGAAGCCAGGTTCACGGCTGGCGAGTGCAGAGGTGGTGGCAGGAAAGTTTGCAGGCAGGAGGTAAGGAGCAAGGAGTCCTGGACTGCGGGAGACCCGGACTGCGAGAGGGATGTCTGACTGCCCAATCCCCAGGGGCTTCGGGGGGGGATTTGGGCCTAAGCCAGCAGGTGGACATCCCCTGAGGGGTCCTGAACTGCGAGACAGTGCAGGCCGGGCTGAGGGACCTCCCCCCTTCCAGTACTCGAATTTTGTGCACCAGGCCTCTAGTATGCTAATGATATGGTAAGTCTGCTCAACCACTTGCTATGACGTGCACTGACCACCAGGGGGAAGACTCTATGACTGGTAGGTTAGCTTGCTCCAGTAGTTTAGCTCTGACCAGTAGGTTAGTCCAGCCTATCAGGACTGTGCAAGATAGGTCAGACATGCCCTGGACTCCTCCCACAGTCCCTCCCCAGCTGACCAGCCTCCCACGTCCCTCCCTGGCGTCAGTCATGCACAGTTGGGGTCCCTCGGCCTGGCCTGTGCCCTCTCGCAATCTGGGACCCCTCAGGGGATGTCGAAGAGCCCATTTTGGCCCAATTCCGCAGGCGAGGCCAAGGGACCCCACTGGTGTACAAATTCGTGCACTGGGCCTCTAGTTAGTTGATATTGTTCCCTGATTGCTCCCATAGCTCTCTAATTTTTTTAGTATGATTTCTATAACTTATTCAACTTTGCTTATTACATCAGGAATGATGGCCTGTAGCTACCTACAACATCTTACCTAGAAGTGGATCCAATTTTAGATCATCTTTAAGTTCTCTCTGTGATACATTAATAGTACCTTACCTAGAGTGCTTGTATCTTTTACTGTACTTATTATTAGGTCTTTTATGTTTTTGATAATATTGTGTATGGTATGACTTTTCTTTCAATTTTATAACTTTTTTTAAAATTAAATCTTTATTGTTGAAAGTATTACATGTCCCTTCCTTCCCCCCCTCCCCCCATTGACCCCTTCTAGCCCACCCCAGCTTTCACCACCCTATTGTCTGTGTTCATGGGTTATGCATATATGTATACAAGTTCTTTGGTTGATTTCTTCCCACCCACCCACAATTTTATAACTTCTGATACTAAAAAATGTGTATTTTTAAAAATTTGATCTCATACCTGGCAACTTTTTTTAAAATATATTTTTATTGATTTCAGAGAGGAAGGGAGAGATAGAAACATCAATGATGAGTGAGAAGCATTGGTCAGCTGTCTTCTGCACGCCCCCCACTGGGGACCAAGCCCGCAACCCAGGCATATACCCTTGACCGGAATCAAACCTGCAACCCTTCAGTCCGCAGGCCAACACTATCCACTGAGCCACGCTGGCTAGGGCTCTGGCAACTTTTTTAAAAGCTTATATTCTAATACCTTATCTGTAGATTGTTTTTGATTTTCTATCAAAATTATATCAAATATGAAAAGTGACAGTATTATTTCTTCTTCTCTTATCTTGATACCTCTTCTTTTTCCTGTTTTAACTGCTGATATCCTTTAAGAACTTTACTAAAATGTTCAATAGAAATGGTAAGAGTTAGCATTCTTATTTTGTTCCAAACCTCACAATGAACAATTACTACATTTCACAATAATTAGGATAGTTTCTCTAAAGTTTTTTTGTAGTTTCCCTTTGCAACAAATTTTATATCTGATTATTAAATTTTATCAAATGTTTAATCTGACCATATTGATGTAATTGTATGCATTTTATCCTTATTTTTTATTGGTGGTGGTGAATTATATTGATTGATTTTTGAATGTTAACTTATCTTGCATTCCTGGAGTAAACCTTCTTGGTAGGAATTCTCTCTCTCTCTCACACACACACACACACATTTGGTTTTCTAACATTTTGTTTAGGATTTTTTTTTTAAATATATTTTTATTGATTTCACAGAGGAAGGGAGAGTAGAGAAGGATAGAAACATCAATGATGAGAATCACTGATTGGCTGTCTCCTGCACGCCTCCTACTGGGGATCGAGCCCACAACCCAGGCATGTGCCCTTGACCGGAATCGAACCCGGGACCCTTCAGTCCACAGGCTGACGCTGAGCCAAACCAGCTGGGGCTTGTTTAGGATTTTTCCCTTTATATTTATAAGAGTTATTGGCCTATTACTTTCTTTTCTCATGATTGTTTTTTCAATTATTGAATAGTAGGCAGAGGGTATAAATTCAAAAGTTCTTCTGTTCTTGTGATATAGATGTTAATTGAATGTAATATACTATTACTCCATTTTTTAAAGTAAATATTTTTGAATAATTTTAGGTTTACAGAAAATATATAAATATAATAGAAGTCTCTGTACCCCTCCCTAAGTTTTTTCTATTGTTAATATCTTACATTAGCATAATATCTTTTTCAAAATTAAGAAGCATACATTTGTACATTACTATTCACTAAACTCTAGACTTTATTTGGATTTTACCTATTTTTCCATTAATGACCTTTTTTTGGTTCTTGAACCCAATTCAGTATATCACTTTCAATTTAGTTAGTTGTCTTATTTCTTCTTAGTCTCCTCTGGTCTATGATCGTTCATCATTGCTTGTCTTGAGGAATACTGGTCAGATATTTTGTAGCATGACCCTCAATCTGGGTTTGACTGGTGCTTTTCTCATGATTAGACTGGAGCAAAGAATACCACAGAAGGGAAGTACCCTTCTCATCACATCATAGTAGAGTATGTGAAATCCACATTACATCACTGGTGATGTATACCTTTATTACTTGGGTAAATAACATGGTGTTTGCCAGGTTTCTCCATTGTAAGTTACTATTTCTCCCTTTTTATATTTTGTTTGCAATTCAGTCACTAAATTCAATCTATACTCAAGGAAGGAGAGATTATACTTTACCCCTTGGGCTAGGGTGAGGGGGTAGTGGTATCTACATATATTATTTGGAACTCTTCAGTAAATAAGATTTGTATTTGTCTTTTCTCTCCTATTATTTACTAGAGGCCCAGTGCATGAAATTCATGCACTCACAGCTGGGTGTGTGTGTGGGGGGGTTGTCCCTCAGCTTGGCCTGTGCCCTTTCGCAGTCCGGGAGCCCTCAGGGGATGTCTGACTGATGGCTTAGGCCCACTCCCCATGGGTTGGACAGCAGTTGGACATCCTTAGTGCTGCTGCGGAGGTGGGAGAGGCTCCTGCCACCGCTGCTGCACTGGCCAGCCGTGAGCCCAGCTTCTGGCTAAGCAGTGCTCCCCTTGTGGGATCGCACTGACCACCAGGGGGCAGCTCCTACCTTGAGCGTCTGCCCTCTGGTGGTCAGTGCTTGTCATAGCGATCAGTCGTTCTGCCATTGGGTCAATTTGCATATTAGCCTTTTGTTATATAGGGTAGGATTCAGTCATTTACTCCATTCTGTTTGAATATGAATGCTCTATAATCTTAAAACATTATTATAACACTAGTTATTATAACATTGAAAACTTCTGGTTCCCCCACTGACATAAACTTCTTGAGGGAAGACTTTGTTTCTTATTTATCTTTGTATCTATACATTTAGTACAGTCCCCTAACTTATAGTGAACCTCTGGTAATTTTTTAAAAAATATATTTTATTAATTTTTTACAGAGAGGAAGGGAGAGAGAGAGTTAGAAACATCGATGGGAGAGAAACATCGATCAGCTGCCTCCTGCACACCTCCCACTGGGGATGTGCCCGCAACCAAGGTACATGCCCTTGACTGGAATCGAACCTGGGACCTTTCAGTCCGCAGACCGACGCTCTATCCACTGAGCCAAACCGGTTTTGGCACCTCTGGTAATTTTTTAAAAAATGAATGTATTTTCACTTGAACTGAAAAGACTCTTTCCTCAGCTAAATTACATAATAGCATTCTAAATTGAAATTAAAAGTAGATTTTAAAAGTAAACTCACGTGTGTTTGCATTGTAAGTATCCAAGAAAGTGAAGGCAACTACAGAAATAACCATTTCTTGTGTCTGCGCAAAACATTCCCTGAAACTACTTAAATATACCTTGAAGCCACTTTCTGAAAGATATTATGGCATTTTATAAGCCAAGGATATGACCTGCTGTGTCCTTTCTCTTATTTGTTCAGATCACTGGAGAAGGTTAAGATTCCACTTTCTGCCTCCTCTAGAAAATTATTATCTGATGCAGTCACTCAGATTACAACAGAAAGTCCAGGAAAAGCTATGTTTTCATCTCAGATTTTTATTAATGCTGATGATGGTCAACGTGAGCCTAGTTCCCAGAAGCTGGACAAAGCTCCTAACAAGTTTGCTTCATCATCTTCAGTCCAACAGATTGCTGTTCCTCGTGACACTAACGGAGGTAAGAGAATGTGATTGCATTTTAGGTCAGATTACCTACTTTTATGTGTAATTATCTTAGAAATTTGTGATTGTGTCTTTCTAGTCAGAAAACCTAATTTTACTTGTAAACATTAGAGCCACATGATTATATCCATCTTTTATAAAAAGAATGTGATTATTATGTTTTTTGTTGTTGTTGTTGTTGTTATTGTTTTTTTTCAAAATATATTTTATTGATTTTTCACAAAGAGGAAGGGAGAGAGACAGAGAGCCAGAAACATCGACGAGAGAGAAACATCGATCAGCTCCCTCCTGCACATCCCCCACTGGGGAAATGCCCGCAACCAAGGCACATGCCCTTGACCGGAACCGAACCTGGGACCCTCCAGTCCGCAGACCGACGCTCTATCCAAACCGGTTGAGCCAAACCGGTTTTGGCGATTATTATGTTTTTATCTTAATTTCCAGTAGAGTTAACATATATGGAACTCATGTTGCTTATGGTTGACATGCTGCTCATTACTTGTAATAAGAAAGCAAATATTTCAGAAAAACTTGAAAACTATAGAGGTTTGATTTTAGGTGGGCAGGTGAATTATTGGCATTTTGTCTTATAGTAAATGTTACGCACTATAATAAATAGATACAAATATATATAACAATACAAATACAATATCATAAAACAATGACCATGGACCCAAGTTGGCTGTGGCTCTGCTGCCTTTGAAACATGGAATTCACGATTACCTTGAATTCACTATCACAGTCAACTGGAAGCAAGTGTCTGAAAGTTTTTATGGGCTAGGCCTGAAAGTGTCCAAAATTATTTTTTATAAGCTAAGAATAGTTTAGCTGTGTTTTCCACAGTGAAGAGATGGATTTTGGTATGCAACTAGTCATCTTATTTACAGTGCTATGCTATTATTGAGACAGTAACTTTAATAGTGCTTATCCTATCTAATAATAGAGAAACATGGTAATTAACTGTAACTTCGCTACCCTTCCCATTGGCCAATCAGTGAGATATGCAAATTAACTGTCAACCAAGATGGCAGCCGGCAGCCAGGCAGCTGAAATGAACAGGAGGCTTGCTTGCTCCAGTGATGGAGGAAGCCAAGGTTCCCCGCCTGCCGCTGCCAGCCTCTGAGCTTGCACTCTAAGCAACTATGTTGCAATTATAGAACCTAAACAAACTCCAGAAACCTGCTTTCAGCCATCAGAGCTGGAGCGAGCAGGACAGCAACAGTGTTACAATTATAGAACCCAAACAAACCAGATACCTGCTTTCAGCAGCCCAGGTCTCAGAGCTGGAGCCGAGCCTCAGAGCTAAAGCCGGCTCTCAGTTCCAGTGACAGCCATAGAAGGTAAATAAATCCCAGAATAAAAAAAAAAAAAGACAAAAAGGAGAGGTTGGGAGCTTCAGTCACCCGCCAACCTGAAAACGGCCCTCAGCCCCTCACCCAGACTGGCAAGGCACCCCAGTGGGGACACCCACCCTGAAGGGGGTGTGACCAGCTACAAACAGCCATCATCCCCTCATCCAGGCTGGCCAGGCACCCAAGCGGGACCCCCACCCTGATCCGGGACACCCTTCAGGGCAAACCAGCTGGCCCCCATCCGTGCACCAGGCCTCTATCCTATATAGTAAAAGGGTAATATGCAAACTAACCCTAACAGCAGAAGGACTGGGAATGACTGGTCACTATGACACACACTGACCACCAGGGGGCAGACGCTCAATGCAGGAGCTGCCCTCTGGTGGTCAGGTCGCTCTCACATGGGAGGAGCTCTGCTCAGCCACAAGCCAGGCTGATGGCTGCCAGTACAGCGGTAGTGGTGGGAGCCTCTCCTGCCTCCTCAGCAGCGCTAAGGATGTCCGACTGCAGCTTAGGTCTGCTCCCTGCTGGCAAGTGGACATCCCCCAAGGGCTGCCGGGCTCCCAGAGGGATGTCTGATTGCCATCTTAGGCCCAATCCCCCGGGGAGCAGGCCTCAGCCAGCAGGTGGTCATCCCCGGAGGGGTCCCAGACTGCGAGAGGGTACAGGCCAGGCTGAGGGACTCCCCTCCCCTCTGAGTGCACAAATTTTTGTGCACTGGGCCTCTAGTCTATATATATATAAAAAGCCAGCGACCATAACATCAGAACAACCCAAACGACCAGTCGCTATGACGCCCACTGAGGCCAGCAAACCCGCCCAATCGTAGGTGGGGCTGGCTGGCCAACCACCTGCGGCCCTGCCCCTGATCGGACTGCCCCACCCAGAATGGCCCCCCCTAGCCCCTCCCCCCCACTGCCCCCCCCCCGATCACTCCCCCTACCCCAATAGGGGGCGGGGCTGGCCGGTCAACCTCCTGCAGCCCCCGCTCCTGACCGGCCCCACCCCAGATTGGGCCCCCCACTCTAATTAGGGCAGGGCTGGCCAGCCAACCACCTGTGTCCCCTTCCCCCGGCCAGCCCCGCTCCTGGTGGCCTCCCCATCCCATTTGGGGGTGAGGCCAGCTGGCCCACAGCCCCTCCCCACAGCTGGCCCTGCCCCCAATCGGCCACCTACCCCAATTGGGGGCAGAGCCCGCCAGTAAATTGCCCTCAGCTCCTTTCCTAAGCCGACCCGGCCCTAATCGGGCCCCAATCAGGGTGGGTTAGCCAGCCAACCTCCTATGGTCTCCTCCTCACAACAGCCCCAGCCCTGATCCACTCCGATTGGGACCTGGCTGGCCAGACCCCACCTGTGCATGAATGTTCACTGGGCCTCTGGTACTATATAATATTCAAAATTAGAGTAAGTTATTTTTATAACAGGAAAATTAACAATTAAGTTTCCATTCTTCTCCCATATGAGAATGGAAACTTTAGATTACTGATTTTAAAGTATTTAATAGTTTGCACAAATCTATTTAAAATTTTTCTATGTATACAAAAAGTTTACCTATCTGTAGATATAAAGAGGCTATGCCTAAATGTATAAAAGAAGATTTCTTGGTTCAGCACTTGAATTGCATTGAATTTAAGTAAGTACATTTATATGTTAAGATAGTTATACATTTTTACTGTGAAATAAAATAAAACTCTGAAATTGTAGAGTTTAATAAATACCGCAAAGAACATCTTTATGTGTCAGTTATGTAACAATAGCTTTAAAAGTCTCAGTGCTTTATAACAAACATTTGCTTATCTCACTCACTGGTTTGTGTGTCAGTTGGGATGTGGCTGCAGGCAGCAGAAATAGTTTCGTTCTGTTCACTTGTCTTGTTCTGAAACTGAGGCTAATGGGACAATAGCTACCCGCAGTCTGTTGTCCTCAGGTGGTAGTAGAAGCACAAGAGGGGAAATCCAACTGTGAAACTGTGCTTTAAACCTCTACTCACATCAAGTGGATCAGTCTATATAGAGAGGTCACAATTTCTGGTTTTACCTTTACATACAGGTACCTGGGAGAAAGGACTACTTTAAAGTATTAATATTATTTGATTTAAATAGTTTTGAAATTGTGAATTTAAAAGTAAAATTTTTATTATTTCTTTTATATGAAAATATTTAAAAGTACATAGAATTTATACTTTATGCTCAACACATGACTATCTGCCCACTAATCTGAATTAATAAATTCAGAATAATTTACTGTATGTTTATATTTGGTTCTATTTTTTAAATTTTTTGAAGAAGTTTTTAGTTGAACTTTCTTTAACCCCTTTCAGTCGTTTCTTTCCCAAAAGCAAACATTATTTGCTGTGTACTTACTTCTTCCCCCATTGGCAGGCAGTACAAAGTAATCTTAAGACTGTTGCATTCAGCCCTAGCCGGTTTGGCTTGGTGGATAAAGCATCGGCCTTCAGACTGAAGGGTCCCGGGTTCGATTCTGGTCAAGGGCACATGCCAGGGTTGTGGGCTCGATCCCCAGTGTGGGGTGTGCAGGAGGCAGCCGATCAATGATTCTCTCTCATCATTGATGTTTCTATCTCTCCCCCCCTCTTCCTTCCTCTCTAAAATCAATAAAAATATTTTTTAAAAAAAGACTTGCATCCAAACATAAGTTTGATGAAAAATTTAAAAAGCCACTTATCTTTCTAAGAATTCTCCATCTCCAGATCATAATCATTCTTGATCTGGGTCCACTGTAATTCTGCCCAATTATTGTTATTCATTTTCTGCAACCTTGTTAATGGTAAATTTAACCATCACTATCAAACTTTATATACATGAAGACGAAAATTAATAAGTTAATATTCTAGCAATAAACGATTACAGCAATGGCCATATAGAAGTGGAGGCTGTAGCTTATTTTTCTGTTGTTTAAATTCTTCCCTCTATAAAATTGTCTCGGTTTGGGGGTGGGGGGGGGGGGCGGAGAGAATGTGTGTGTGTGTGTGTGTGTGTGTGTGTGTGTGTGTGTGTGTGTGTGTGGTGGTGGTGGTGGTTTTGTTTTAGGTTTTATTTTTGTTTTGGGGGCTTTGTTTTGTTTTTTGCTTTTGCCTGATGGAGTGGTATAAGTATTTCTAAACAATCTGAGACTTTATTAGGCATGTATCCTGCCCTAATCTCCCTCATTATTTTCTAATTATTTCCTTCATTTCACTTATAATTTATTAAAATATTAGATAATGTATTTAGTATGCTGCTTACTTACTATATATCTTCCTCCTCTTAAGGCAGAGGTACTGATATTTCCCAAGAATCTTGAACACTGCCTGGCACTTGAAGGCACTCAGTATTTGTTCATTGAATTAATATTTTCTTTTTAATTGTTCTGATCTTTATCTCCTTAGCTCAGCCTTCAGTGTTGCCATATAAGCCTTCTGGTAGTACGAAGATGTACTATGTTCCACAATTAAGTCAAAGTCCTTCATCTATGGATTCCAAATCGAAGAGGACCTATGTTCCACAATTAGGTCAAATTCCTTCACCTATGGATTCCAAATCAGACACCACCATTGAGAGCTCACACTCAGGTAT